GGGGGTCTTCGACCTGAAAAAATCAGGGGTTAGGATTTGCACCCGGTCGAAAGAAACCTTGCTATCGCAAGAGTAACTCCAGCTAGCTTCGCTAGCTTTCGTGATTGAAAGTTTTTTATTGGTTCCGAAAGTGACGTTAGGACCGGCCGCACCCCAAACCCTCCGCCAGGTCAGGATAGCTGCCAGAGCCATGGGGCCACGTCAAGGCTAGGGCCAGCTGGAACCATGTCACAGGAGAGCTGCCAGACCCCAGGTCAGGGCCAGAGGCCACGTCCCAACCTCAAACCCTGCGCCAGGTCAGGATAGCAGCCAGAGCCCACGGGCTAGCACCATGTCACAGGAGCACAGGAGAGCTGCCAGACCCCAGGTCAGGGCCAGAGGCCACGTCCCAACCTCAGTCAGACCCTGCGCCTATGCTTGCGCTATAACCTCAAACCCTGCGCCAGGCACCCCGGAGTTAGGGTCAGGTTAGCACCCCGCAGCGAGGGGCAGCGCCCAATTCGTGGCAGCTGCTGTCTTGATTGAAAGTTTTTATTATTGGTTCCGAAAGTGACGTTAGGACCGGCCGCACCCCAAACCCTCCGCCAGGTCAGGATAGCAGCCAGAGCCATGGGGCCACGTCAAGGCTAGGGCCAGCTGGAACCATGTCACAGGAGAGCTGCCAGACCCCAGGTCAGGGCCAGAGGCCACGTCCCAACCTCAAACCCTGCGCCAGGTCAGGACAGCAGCCAGAGCCCACGGGCTAGCACCATGTCACAGGAGCACAGGAGAGCTGCCAGACCCCAGGTCAGGGCCAGAGGCCACGTCCCAACCTCAGTCAGAGCCCACGGGCTAGTAGGAGGAGCCATGTCAGGATAGCACCCAGGAGTTAGGGTCAGGTTAGCACCCCCACGGGCTAGCACCATGTCACAGGAGCACAGGAGAGCTGCCAGACCCCAGGTCAGGGCCAGAGGCCACGTCCCAACCTCAAACCCTGCGCCAGGTCACCTATGCTTGCGCTATAACCGCAAACCCTGCGCTAGGCACCCCGGAGTTAGGGTCAGGTTAGCACCCCGCAGCTAGGGGCAGCGCCCAATTCGTGGCAGCTGCTGTCTTGATTGAAAGTTTTTTATTGGTTCCGAAAGTGACGTTAGAACCGGCCGCACCCCAAACCCTCCGCCAGGTCAGGATAGCAGCCAGAGCCATGGGGCCACGTCAAGGCTAGGGCCAGCTGGACCCATGTCACTGGAGAGCTGCCAGACCCCAGGTCAGGGCCAGAGGCCACGTCCCAACCTCAAACCCTGCGCCAGGTCAGGATAGCAGCCAGAGCCCACGGGCTAGCACCATGTCACAGGAGCACAGGAGAGCTGCCAGACCCCAGGTCAGGGCCAGAGGCCACGTCCCAACCTCAGTCAGAGCCCACGGGCTAGTAGGAGGAGCCATGTCAGGATAGCACCCCGGAGTTAGGGTCAGGTTAGCAGACCCCAGGTCAGGGCCAGAGGCCACGTCCCAACCTCAAACCCTGCGCCAGGTCAGGATAGCAGTCAGAGCCCACGGGCTAGTAGCAGGAGCCATGTCAGGATAGCACCCCGGAGTTAGGGTCAGGTTAGCACCCCGCAGCTAGGGGCAGTGCCGAATTCGTGGCAGCTGCTGTCTTGATTGAAAGTTTTTTATTGGTTCCGAAAGTGACGTTAGGACTGGCCGCACCCCAAACCCTCCGCCAGGTCAGGATAGCAGCCAGAGCCATGGGGCCACGTCAAGGCCAGGGCCAGCTGGAACCATGTCACAGGAGAGCTGCCAGACCCCAGGTCAGGGCCAGAGGCCACGTCCCAACCTCAAACCCTGCGCCAGGTCAGGATAGCAGTCCGAGCCCACGGGCTTGTAGCAGGAGCCATGTCAGGATAGCACCCCGGAGTTAGGGTCAGGATAGCACCCCGGAGCTAGGGGCAGCGCCCAAGCCTTAGCAGCTGCTGTCTTGATTGAAAGTTTTTTCTTGGCTCCGAAAGTGACGTTAGGACTGGCCCTGGTAGCTGCCAGAA